TCCAGTCAGCAGACCTTATATAACATCAGGAATTAGATAGGAAATTGGCTGTTGTAGCTATGATACTTTCAGTTGCTTTCAACATGGCTGAAAGGAAATCTTAAAAACAAACAAACAAACACACAAACACCCCACAAGTATTAGAGATTTAGGGATGCAGTTATGAGTGGGTTGGGTTTGGGAGTTCCAGAATGCCATCAAGGCTCCACCTCTCTCCATCACTTAGCCTTGCTCAGCGGCATGCCTTTTTTTTTCTACAGAAAGTCTCCCCAGCTTGGAAGTTCTGGGAAGAAAAGACAAGTTGTCAATTTTTCTTTGACAGAAAATCTTGGGGAGGATTCTGATAGGCGGAGCCAAAGTCAGATGCCTACATCTGAACCAGTCATCCCTGGGGCCATGGAGGAGGCAGAATGCCACTGTCAGCAGTTTTCCAAAAGAAAAGCCTGGTGTTTGTGCAAGATGAAAGGGATAGGACACTGAATAATGAGAGCTATGCGTGCTACTATAAACTCCGCCATTCTTACTCCCTGCCCGGGTCATAACCATGCAGTAAGTTGACCTAGGAGTTTATTTTCCTCATCACTAGCCTTAGTGTGTGTGTGTGTGTGTGTGTGTGTGTGTGTGTGTGTGTGTATATATATATATATCATGAAGGAGCACATGAGTAAAATAATAAGGGAAAAGTCTGAATATGGGAAATCAGCTAGACTAATATTTACAAAGATGTGAATATGTATCCTTAAAATGTTCCTCTAAACTCACTCAAATGTTCAAAGTGGAAGCTGGAAATACAAGGTTATGGGGTTTTGACAAGAGCAAGCTTTCTCCAAGCGAAACTATGGACACAAAGAGATGTCCTATAAAGTTGAATTAAAGGCATCCACTATTTCAATGATGCTTGAAGGAAAGATGTCTAAAGACATCCTGACAGAATGAGTATCTACACATAAAATACACGTGAAGGTCTCTTCACATATAGTACGTGCCTATCTCTCTTCCTTCCCTCTCTGCTCTTTTAAAAAATGCCCCTTTAAAAATTGCCCACTCACCATCTGTTAGGTAAATTTCCTGAAACAGTAAATGTGGAGGCAGAGATTGTTATAGAAACTATTCCAAATGGCATTGACACCTATATTTATGAAATTTTAAAAAGAGTAAGTTAAAGTTGCTTTAAAAACAACAACAACCACTATAATAATACCATACCAGGTACCCAATTCTATCCAATTACATAAGATAGATAGATGATAGATAGATAAGAAGAAAACAGGAAGAAAGAACACTAGGTATAATGTTACCCTAAAAGTCTGAGATAATATTTAAGGTTCAATGGACAAAAAGGAAACATTGACAAATATACAAATGTATTTCACTTATGGTATAAGGGCCACAGGTTTAGATTGTCAACATCCTCCAGCCGTCAAGTGGATACTTTTTCCATTGAGTTGCTGTTGAGGGAACAAAACTGAAACAGATACCATTCAATTCCAAGTCTACAGCTCAGACGATGACACTACACATGAAATATGGCTCATTCAGACCCAGGATGTAGCGAGAGTAATTTACACTCTCAGAGTATTTGCTCTCAAGTCAATAGCAGAGAAGCCTTGAATAAACACATTCCCATTACTTTCCACTACAATAGATCTTACTCATAGCCCATGAAACAGTGGTCAGGGGATTTCGCCTCTGGGCACTGTCTTACATAAGCTCTCTACTTTTAGCCATCCCCGCGCGGTGATTATTTTCAAAATATGTTACTCATAGTCAATGTTAATTTGCATTTAATCTTTCTTAGCATCAGAGAGTATTATTTTGTACAGGCTCAGAAACAAATCTCCAGAAATTCCTCCCCGATGCTTCTTTGAGGCTGAAAATGCATTGCAGGGCAGTAACAGTGACTTAATTATAGTTGGCAGAGCCTGGCCACACACTAATTTCATTAGCCTCAAATTCCTGGATTTGTAAGACCCACTGGATATGAATCCTGCCCTCAGACATGTCACTTACTAACCAATTCAGTGTGCAGATAGAGGAGAGGGAGAGAGAGACTTGCTCAGCTTACATCTTCGGTCCGGTACACCAGCAGGCAAGTGAGGATTTGAAGTCATAGACACTGTCTACATCTGAGCAGTCATTCTCGCCCAGGTCCTAACTGTCAGAGAGGAACTTCATTCCAGGCTTTGCTGGCAACAGCAGCATTTGTCACATCTATTACTATCTCATTACTCCCTCCTGCGCCCCAGCGCTTAGCAACCCACATTTGAGTCACTAGGTATTCCTTCCCTAAAGCCTAGAAGCTTCTCTCATCATACATTTCTGTCTTAAATGATAGGTCTGGCATGGTCCCCACAGCAACCCACAGGGACTGGGGAAAAGAGAACTAGAATTCAATCATTTAGAGGAGTTTCGTTTTTATAGGACAATCTTAATTGAGCTGAACCCAGCAATCCCAGAGAAGATTCACCTCCCATTCTTTTCCTCTCTCCCTAAATTGACTGTGCCTTTGAACAATGGGCCTGGATACCACTATTCTCTCTATTCATTTTGCAAGTTTACACAGTCTGGAAGCTGAGGGTTGGATTGCATGCCAGGAGCCTCTAAGATCACATGCAAAAAAAAAAAAAAAGCCGCTATATATTCCAAACGGGCAGTGTTTAACCAGGATGCGCACACCCAGTTACATCCAGCTTGCAGCACACGCTACAAGTTGATGCATTCCTCCTCCTACCAGCCTCTTCTCAATAAACGCAGGTGAAAACTGGGGGCCCCTTTCCCCCCAGCTGCTCACTCCAACATCAATAGCTGCAATTTGCAAATTAGAGGGAAATGACAGTGTTTTCTCTGAATGGCTCTGCTCCCAACCCACACTGCTATCACTGGCATCCGGCTCCTTTCCTTCCCAGCCCAGGGGATGGAGGAACTCAAGGTAAGGCAGGCTGCTTCTTTCCTCACAAGTGCCTCAGAGTCACACACCAGAAGAGGAATCCGCTTCCCCTGGAACCTTGTTCAGCAACAGTCCTTCCACTGAAGTCTGCAGCCTCTCTCTGGACTTGAACATTTCACTCTTTTTGTCTGTCAGGCCCTCTGCAGGACTGCCCCGCTCCCAGTGAAGACAGAAACAGGCAGCAACATAGTTTAAATATGCTAAACACCAAACACACCTTCAACCCCCGGGCGGGCTCTGGACAAAACCTGTGAATTGCCCCGGGGATTCCCAGGTGATCTGACTGCATCCTCTCCCAGGGTTCTGCCCTCAAGTTGTCTAGCCTGAAGCTCAGGGATGAAGGCAGCACTGGCTTCTGGGTTTTGCTTTCAACAACTCAAGCTCTTCCTAAAAGCGTCAACTCAGAGTGCAGGCTGCCCCCAAAGCACTTCTGGGTTTGCAAACATCTAGGGATCTTCAGGATCCCTACTCAGGAGGGGTTAGGGAGGCTCAGACCTCAGAGAGGCCAAATCAGGCTGCAGCCTTGGAAGGCATCCCTCCTTCTGGCACAAACACAAACTTCACACTCCCGGGAGCTGATGTGGTGACAGCTTGAATCTCACAAGGAGTCCCCTCCAGAAACCCAACATCCTTAGGAAAAGCCCGGGAGAGGGAGCCAATTCCTTAACAGGGGCGTGAAAGGGCACCAGAGTCAGCCCGAACATCTGGAGAGGGATTAGCGGGGTCTGGGCACTAGGGGCAGGGAGAGAGCTGGCTGTGCATCAGGAAAGGATCGCCTCAAGACAGCGATGGACACAAAACTCGGAGGTGGGGGCAGAGGGATAAGAGAGGCAGAAACTGAAAGGGAGGGTAAAAGATAGAGAAAGAAAACAAATCAGGGAGAAAGGAGAGAAAGATACTCAGCGAGAATCATGGAGAGACAAGGAGAAGGCAACCCGCAGTCTCAGACCCTCAATTTCTTCACCCCAAAGCCATCCGTGTATACCCAAGGCAGCAGGGGAGCAGCGGGGCAGCGGCTGCGGGAGCGCAGGCCAGGGAGCTGCGGTGGAACCCACCGCTCAGGGGCCCCAACCGCCTTCCTCCCCTTTCGTGGTTGCCCTCTGGCGCCCGGAGCCCGGAGCCCGGCAATCGCGGGCCTGGCTCAGTGCGCCCCACTCACTGCTTCGCTCCCGGCCCTTCTCGCCCGGCTCCGGAATCCTCCTGGGAGCTGAGGGCTGGGGATGGCGTGGGGAGGGGGCCTGCGGAGGGAGGTCTTGGGAAAGGGCGGGCGGGCGGAGGGATGAGGCAGCGAAAGCGATTCTGTTTCGCAGTTAGCATGAGCTCATCCTGGCTCTGAAGTGGCAGGAGTGGAAAGCTGATCGCCCAGCTCCTGCCAGTGGCCGGGCTGCAAATGCCATTTAGAGGGTGCCAACATGGGCACCCCGCAAATCGCCGGGGGGTCACGTCTGAGGGTGGCCTCTCCCCACTTGGGGAGTGTCGCCTGGGAGACAGGCTACAGGTCGGGAAACCCAACCCGCCAGAGGTGGGCAATGAGCACCCACACGCTGGCCCCGGTGTAAGTAGTGCCTCCCTAGCTCTTCTCGAATTTTGCCCAAGGCCGCTGGGACGCGCCGGGGCGGCTCAGGCCGGGAAGCCGGGGAGTTGAGAAATGCCCGGGTTCCAGGCGTCTTCTCATCTTTCACACTCCATGCGCCTACCCCGCTGGCACGGGAGGCCGGCACTTGACAAGCCTGTTTTCGGGGCATATTTCACTCTAATGCAAACCCATTTAAATCATCGCCTTGTTTTTCGCAGATTGCTTCTTGTAAATGGGGCCATAAATCCAGGATGTCAAGCCGGATGGAGTGAAGCGCAGACGGGAGAGGTGGAGGGGAAGGAACCAGGCAGGGAGGGTGCCTCCTCGGGCGGGTGGAAGGGGGTCGGCAGGACCTCCGGGTGGAGGTGCGCGGAGGCTGACCTGACCCCGCAGCCCTGAAGTCCAAACCAGCTTTTCTCGGGATCAACAGCGCGGGGAGGAACGGCGCGCTCTGCCCCGGAGGGAGCGCCCCCCTACCTGGAAAAGCCTCAGGATGTTGGCTACCATGATGGAGACGGAACTCCCCGAAGCCCCAATCACTCCAACTACTTTCTCTGGCTTGACGAACACCGGGGGCTCGCCGTTGGTGCAGCGCACGTCGGAGGTGTCCTTCTGGATGAGCGCCTGGACGAAAGTGAGCGACTGTTCCAGCGCGTAAGTGTCCCTGGAACAAGTGTCCAGGATCCGCGCGCCCAGCGTCACGTTGGGCAGCAGGTTGGGATCGCTGTTGATCTGGTCCAGGGCGTAGAGCATCGCTTCCAGCCTGTGGATCCCGTTCTCCCTCTTGATGTCGCCGCAGGGCACTCCGCTGGGACCCTTGGCGTGCACTGGGAACAGCCCCCCGAGGGTGACGTCCCCCTCGATCCGGATGGAGTGCGGGGCGTACATCTCCTGGCCGCGCGCCGCCGCCGCCAGCGCGCACAGGAGCACCTCCAGCACGCAGCAGGGGAACTTCATCAAAGTCAGGGCGCGGAGCAGCTGCCGGAGCTGGACCATGCTGCTCCGGCTGCTCCGGCTGCTCGGGCTGCTCCTGCGGCTCCGGCTTTGGCGGCGGCGGCGCTGGAGGGTGCGGTGGCGGGCTCGCCGGGGTCCAGGCTCCGTGGGATGAGCTCCTCGGGGAAAGCCCGGAGGCTCCTGCTGTCACAGAGGGTGGGGGCACCCGGGGAGGGGCGGCAGGAGAGTGTGGGGGGTCCCGCGGCGCCTGCCAGCTTGGGGTGCCGTGCGCGCTCGGGTTCGCCAGCCGGCGCTCCGCGCGGGCGCTCTCTGGCTTGCCGCTGGAGCTCTTCAACAGCCCAACACTGGGGAGAGGGCACGGATTGCTATCGCTTTAAATGGTCGTTCGGCTCCCTCTCCACCTCCTCCTCCCACTCCCTCCCTCCCTCGCTAGCTCCTGGTCTATCCCCACCCTTCCCAGTGCCCGCCCTCCCCACTGGTTTGCATCATCACGCAGGGAGGGGCTGCGTGCTGAGGAAAGGGGGGGACTGGGTGGGCGGCTGGCATGTGGGGGAGCGGGGGGAGTGCCTGCGATTGGGAGTTTCTAGGTCCTCAGGGAATCTAGGGATTTCAGGTCGCAGGCCAGGGATTCTGGCCCCCATCTCTCTGTAGAAGCCTCTTGATCCTCGCCTGCACCCACACGCACCGGAGGCATCAGCCCCGGGATGGGAGTAGGATGTCTGGTGCTGACAGCTCCCGCCCGACCTGGAGTCCGGAGCCGGCTGTCAGCTCCAGGAGAATGGGAGTCTCGCAAGTGGTGGAGGGAAGGGCCAGGGAAAGACCGTCTCTACCACTGATTCCTCGGTGCCAGTTTTTCTCAAGAAAAACGTACATACACACAGGAGCCTGATTCATGACTTATGGAGCCTTTACCCAGAGACTTCTCCGGGCCAGGCACAGGCTCCCTGTAGGGAAAGATGCCAACAAGAACGTTAGGAATGGAAGGAAGTACATGCTTGGTCTTCAGGGTATACTGGGGCCAGAGCCGGATGAACCAACCGAAGCAGCTCCTAAATCTGTGGTGGGAACCTCAGACTCCCCCCTTTTCTATTTCCCTGGCAAGAGATGGAAGGACTGAGAACTCTGCAGAGCCCACTTCCTTCTCAGGTGCTGACAGGTGTAAGGCTCCCTCCTACCCGTTTCCAGAGACGCCTCTGGCTGGTGACAGGTTCTGGAGGGCAGGAAAGGCAGAAAGGCGGGCCAGTAGGAGGAAGAAAGCCAGGCAGACAGAAGTCTCCTCGGTGATTCCGGATGCCTTTCTCTCCAAATCAGGATGCCAGAGCAGGTTGCAGGGCAATTAAGAAGCTCTTTTTCAAAGGTGTCCCTGCAGGCCCAGCGCAAACTTGGCCATTAAAGCAACAAGTGGCCCTAGTTCCTATATAAGGAAAGGTGATGTCTCTGTCCTTGGGGACCAAGTGCAAGGAGGCAGGTTAACCCAGCTTTTCAGGAGGCTTTCTGTTGGAGTGCAGCAAAGCTCTATTGCACAGATTCGAGGGTGAGAGAAAACCAGAACCAAGGCTAGACCTTGTTTTGTTGTTAATCCTCACCTGAGGAGAATATTTTCCATTGATTTTTTTTTTAAGAGAGAGTGGAAGGGAGTGACAAGAGAGAAAGAAACATCAGTGTGAGAGAGACACATTGATTGGTTGCCTTCTGCACATGTCCTAACCAGGCTGGGGATCAAGCTTGCAACTGAGGTACATGCCCTTGACTGGAATCGAACCCAGGACCCTTCAGTTCTTGGGCTGATGCTCTGTCCACTGAGCCAAACCAGCTAAGGCAAGACTATACTTTTTGTTGTTCTTGTTAATATACTAAAGAAAGATGACCTTGTACAACACACACACACACACACACACCCCAAAAAGTCAGTAGACGGGTAGTTGGTTACCTCTGCCACTAACTACCTGTGTACCCCTTGGCATTTCTGTTCCTCCGTATGGGTTTTAGTTTCCCCATCTGTAAAATGATGAGATTGAATTGGATGCTCTCCAAGTGATATTTTAACTCCCAAATCCTCTGTTAAAATAGGCCATGTGCCTTTGGCCATGGTGCTCTTTTTAAGCCAATATACTCTGCTGCTTTATATGTAGGAAACCAACGTTGCAATACCCAAAGAACATTACAAACATTTCCTGGTATAGAGGACTTTTTTTTTCTTGCCCACCATCTATCCCTCTTTTTTCTAAGGACAGTCAAGACCGTCAATTTCTTTTTGGATATGCCTTTTCTCCATGTTTCAATATTTAAGGTTTGAGAAAAATAGACGCCACTTCCCATAATCCAGACTTGGCTAGTCAAAGCATGGGGTCCTTTGAACTACAGTGATGATGAGATTAAGGATGAGAATGGAACTCAACAGAAACCATCCAGGCCTTTCTGAAGTAACCCCTGTGGTAACACAGAGTTACCACTATCCAAGAGACAATCTGTGCATGAGTTAGGGGAAAAAAGCCCCGCCCCCCACCCCAAGCCTCAAAACACTTTATATTTTGGAAAATGTAGTATTCTGATTTTATAAGAACAACATTTTACTGCTATCTTCAAGAAAACAGTGCTGTAATTAGTATGCTAATCTACCATGTGTACAATGTGGTTATCAATCACTTTTAGGTGGGATGTTCTGCTACATAAGTGCATGCTTTGTACAGCCTTATGCTGTGATGGCCCCAGCTCTTCCTGCTGGTCCTGGAGCTCTGTAAGAGGATAAGCAGCCTGTAGCTGTGCCAGAAGCCTCCTCCACAAAGATGGGGGATATTTTAATCTCATAATAGATACAAGAGAGGGAAAAGGAAGAGGGAAGCAGGGATGGGGGCAGAGATAAGTAGAGGCCTGATGAAAAGATTTGAATTCCTGCGATTCAGCCTTGCCTGAAAGATTGCCTCTAGATTTTTCCAATTACATACTATTTTTTTCTCTTGTTCAAAAACAAAAAGATCCTCTTTTAATTCATCTGTTCAAATACACCAGATCAAAAAGGGTGGAACAGCTGAAATAGATACTGTTTGAGGTAGCATCAGCTAATTTGGAAAGATAAAAAGAAGAAACAGAGTAATAGAAAGGTATACTTGGAAACACAAGTACTATGATCCTATTATTTAGGCATCGGTACTTCAGGCTGTATTTGACAGAGACTAGATGGTTATTAAGTTTTAAATTTAAGGTTGTTTATTAGGAACTTGGTGACAAAAAATATTTGGAGAGCTGGTAGCAAGTAATGTCACTTGATTTTTTTTTTACCTGCTCATGTCTGGACCCATGTTCTACTCCTCCGTTTTCTTTTCTTTTTTAACATATATTTTTATTGATTTCAGAGAGGAAGGGAGAGGGAGAAAGAGAAACATCAATGATGAGAATGAATCATTGATTGGCTGCCTCCTGCATGCCCCACTCTGGGGATCAAGCCCACAACCTGGGCATGTGCCCTAACTGGGAATCGGACCGTGACCTCCTGGTTCATAGGTCTATACTCAGCCATGCCGGCCGGGCTACTCCTCCATTTTCATTTCATGTCTTGTGATTGCTCAATAAATATATCTTGGCTGACTATTGAATGCTGCCTTATTCTGTGTTCTCTCTAAGCCCTGTTCTTTCTCCCCAAACATCTGGCAGCAGTCATTATCTTCTCATTGCAGTCACCTGTGTGCATGTCTTGTTTCCCCTGCCAGGTTGTAAGATTCTTAAGGGTAAGGGCTGAGTATTATTTGTCTTTTCTCCCGGACAGGAATGTTTAGAATGGTGTTTTGTACCTAAGAAGCACTCATGTGTTCCACGAATCAGAACTGGTTTTGCCATTCCCCACTGTCTTCATTCGACAGTGACTGAAATATAAAGTGGCAGAGCAGAAGTGATGGCAGATAAATTGCTGTCCTCTTAGTCACAGTATGCAGTTTCCAGAACGTAAAGGATGATTAGTGGGCTTACTAGTAATTTCGCTTTACATAATTTGCATAAGATTTGAACACTCTAACCTTAACGCTCTCAATCAACTTTAATTGGAAGGCTCTCATCGGTTCTTCATGACTCCAGTGTCCATTCCTGGACCAATACCTGGGGCCACTGCAATAGCCTGGCTGAGGAAGGACAGAAGCCAGGCACTAGCACCACCTGAACCAAACGGAAAGAGTGATCTGTTACCAGATAAATGGAAAAATGATGCATAGGATCTGAAACTCAATAGGTGACATAGTATTTATTTTTTTGAGATTATCTGAATGGAAAATCTTTGTGTAAGAATGGCTAATCCAAAACTGGGCCAGCCATTGTTCTAGTGTTATATTTAATTGGAGGAGAATCTAGTTTTAGACACAAAGATGATACATTATAAAATGTGATCACAGGTTTGGTTCTGTGTAGTCAGTAATCTGTCCTTATGAAGGAATTAATGAAATGTGTAGCTAAAGTTAAGGGCTCAGTCCTAACTTATATTCTTAGTGTTGCATTTTCTTAATCATCTCAGTTTTATTTATTTTCTTTGTTGTTTTCCCCTGCCCATCATCTTCTGCAGAAAATGTCTCCATTTTCAGTTTATAATACAAAGTTGTCCTTCTTTGCTGCTGTGATCCCTGTTGCTAATATGCTCCGGCTACTCTTCCATCCTTCATGTAGGTCTCTATCCATAGCTTCCTCCTCCTCCACCCCCACACTCTTACCTTTGATTTGCACTACTGAGTGAAGGTCACTTTTTCTTGGAGAGACAGCAAGAGAAAATATTTTCTAGTTCACCTGTCACAATTTCCTGTCATATTTATTTGTAGTAGACATCTTGTACCACTTACCCAGCATCTATTTCCTGGTCCCATCTTATGAAAAAAACAAAACAAAAAACCTGTAATTCTCTACATCCTCTAAATTGGCAGGAGATGAAATGTTCCTGCTATTCTTTTGGTAACATCATCAGCCATTCCTATGGGATAGAACACCCCCCTCCCCCCCCCCCCCCCGTGTCCATGAGTTGAGATGGCTCTGTCAATATTAATGCCTCACATACTCAAACTCAATTG